ATGCTTAATTTCCAATCCTGTCATCTATGATATTACCTCCTCCCGCCCCACCCCTAAAAAAGACCTTTGACTGGAGATCACCAAATAAGGCAGATCGCAGACTCAAGCGATCGGAGCAGAAAGCAACATGTGTAAACTTGTTGGACTTCCTCTCGCCTCGCCCACTCCAGTCTGCAGCTTCCAGTCTGAAGATCCTCACGTGTTGTCTCTGAGTCTCTCTGTTCCAGTCTCCGGCATCTAAGTCTCATAAACTTTATTCCCCAGAGCCTACTATCTAATCCCTAATCTCTGCACTCCTGTTTCCGGCGTTCTGTCTCTAATGTTTAGTTTTCTGTGTCCGTATTTCAGGTCTCTGGTCACCAATCCGTTTCCAGTCCCTAGTCTCTAGTCCATAGGCCTCCAGTTAGTTCTGTTAACAGTAATATTTTTGTTGCAATCATCATCATCATCATCATCATCATCATCATCATCATCATCATCATCATCATCAACATCATCATCATCATCATCATCATCATCATCATCATCATCACACCATCATCATCAATCATCATCATCATCATCATTATTATCATCATCATCATCATCGTCTTCATCATTATCATCGTTATTGTTATTATTATTATTGTTATTATATAATTAGTATTAGTATTAGTAGTAGTAGCAGAAGTCGTAGTAGTAACATTAATTTATTATTACTATTATTATTCTTATTATTATTATTATTATTATTATCACTATTATTACTATTGTTCTTCTTTTCTTCTTTTCTTCTTCTTATAATATATTATTATTATTATTATTATTATTATTATTATTATTATTATCATTATTACTATTACCATCTTTATTATTGTTATTATTATTATTATTATTATTATTATTATAATCACCATTATTGTTATTATTGTTGTTATTATTATTATTGTTATTATTAGTGTTATTATTATCGTTATTATTATTTTATTATTATCATTATCATTATATCATTATGATCATCAGTATCGGTACTGTTATTATTATTATTATTATTTATTATTATTATTATTATTACTATTAACATCATTATAATAATTATTATTATTATCATTATCATTGTTATTACTACTACTATTATTATTATCATTATTATTATTATTATTATTATCATTATCTTTATCTTTATTTTATTGGTATCATTATTATTATTGTTATTACTATTATTATTATTATCACCATTATTATTATCATCACCATCAATATTATTATTATCATTATTATTATCATTATCGTTATTATTATTGTTATCATCCCCATCATAACTGATATAATTATTATAATGAAAATTATTTTTGTTATTATTATTATTATTATTATTATTATTATTATTATTATTATTATTAATTGTCATCATCATCATCACTGGTATTATTAATGTTTTTATCATTATTATTATTATCATTATTATTGTTACTATTACTACCATTATTATTATTATTGTTATTATGATGATAATAGTAATAATGGAATGGTAATGATAGCAATAATAATAACGGTGATAGTAATGATTATCATTATTAGTAGTATTTGAAGTTATTATCGTCATTGTTATTAATTTTACTATCATTGTTATTATTATTTTCAATGTTATCATCACTGCGGTTGTTTTTTTTTCTTATCATTATTGCTGCTATAGTTTGTCACTATTATTATTATCATAGTTATACTATGAATTATAATAGTAATAATGATATTGATAATAATAAGGATAATGATAATGATCATAAAAGTAGTAATGATAATAATGATAATACTAATCATTATTATGAATATAATTATGAAAATGATAATAATGATAATAATAATGATGATACCTATGATAATAAAAATGATGATAAAAATTATAAATTTTGTTATTATTATTTTCATTATTATTATCATCATCATATCATCATTATCATTATTGTTATTATATCATTATTATTATTATCATATATTGCAACTGTAACATTATTATGATTACTACTGCTCCTATTACTCTTGTTAGTATCAGAGGCATTGACTCCTATTCTAATTATTACGATCAATGGAACAGACTCGAATCGTAGTAATAAAAGCAGTAGTGATAACTGTTGCCAATAACACTCGAAATCTCCGCTTTTCCCACGGGTGCCCTCGTCCTAAGCGCCCGCGGGCGGCCGGGAGAGGCGAGCGCGCCCACCAGTACTCACAGCTAGGTGTTGAGGGCGGAGGCGTTGTGAGGGATGGAGAGCGAGCGGTCCAGGAGGTGCGTCTCCTCGGTGGGCGTGTGGTCCGCGAACAACAGGTCGTCGATGTCGCGCAGCGTGGCCGGGCCGTTGTTGAGGTCGTCCATCATGAGGCAGTTCTCGGTGACTGGGCGGGCGTTCGGGAGGGCATTGGAGGGCGCGGAGGTGGCGTGCGCGGGCGCCGCCACGCGCGTCATGGGCGCCCCGCACAGGCAGAGTCGCGGCTCGCCAACCTCGTCAGGAGACGTGGCCATGGGCGAGGTGGAGGCAGGTTGGTTGTACAGGCAGGGCGCCTTGGAGCAGCGTAGCACCAGGTTGGCGTTGCGCTGGTCGAGAGTCGCCGCCAGTTTGGGCTCAAGCGAGTCCTTGAGAATGTTCTCGGGCGTAGCCTCGTCCCGCGCCGCCTTCTCCTGCCCCGCGAAGTCCGC